ATTTAAGTAATTCTTTAACCAATGTAAAATTATTAAAATAATTAATCGAAAATGTGCATGATAAGAATATCCGGAATTTTAACTACATTTCCTATGTTCAAACTTAAAGATTAAACTTTAAAGATTAAACTTGTTTGCATCACAATATATGTCAAAGATGTACTCAACGTATCATCAGTTTATATGTACATGTATAAGCGTATATATTGCCTAAATCTTCTTTTGCATTATACTGATGATCTTATATCTTAATTTTCCACTTTTGTGATGCCGCGTATCATAAAAGATCATCGTAAGGAGGTTTCATCGATTCGCTTCACTCCAAGCTAAATTGCTGCGAACCGCGCACCGGTTAGGTCTCACATGAAAGTTCGCAAAAAAGATCGCATCTCTTCCGCATTCCCGCGATTGCACACGCGATTGCATTCACGAATAGCACTTAATTAACTAAATAAATCCGTTTTCGACGTTATCTTCGTAACTGTCGGTAAGATATTGATGGAGGTGTACTGGCCGTTGCATAAGGGTGTTCTCAGATCGGGATTGTCCACAGTTCTGATCATTTCCTGCTGTTGTTGCTGATTCAGTATCCATAGAATTGATACTAGCGATAATACTGACGTCATCACTCCGATTATACCAAGTAGATATATAAATACCATTTGTACGACTGGTATTATTTGAAGTGCTAACTTTATTAGGATCGTCAGATAGACCGGCAGCGATGTAACATACTGCAAGGAAGAGATTTCATCTGTTGCATAACTCATTAATGAAATCTATAGTAAACTTTATACGAATAAAAATGCTGTTGTAGAGATATGTCACTTATTGAAGCGCGAATCGAATCAGTTGAGATTAGTTAATTCAAATCTGAATTGAAAAATTTCGAATCTAAGAAGTTCAAATCGACAACGAATCAGATATATCGACTGTTATATATCATATTTCTCTTTAAGACGAATAGTGCGGTATTATTATTTTGAGCCAAAATAAAAATGCATTCCGTTTCACGCGTATGCGCGCATATTTCCCGATTTGATTCGATTCGCCGTCATAAACCCTTGATTCGATATGACAAATATTAGATAATATATATAAATAGATATATATATATATATATGTATATATATATATAATATTAGATAATATATATATATAAATAGATTATTCAGATAATATATATCAATGTATAATTTTCTCAAAATATATAAGAATATAATAATATTAATTTTTTAATTGTATTTATAGAAATCAGAATTTGTTATTAAAAATTCTACTTTTAATATCATGAAATTAAGAAAAATTTTAATTTATGCTTGAATACGAATAACTTCATATTTTGCATTATCAAGCTATGTAAAGTTGTATTTAGAATTGAACAATATTTTTTCACGAGAACGTCAATGATGACGTTGCTCCGTAAGTAAGTCGCGCTCAATTAAATACAATAAAAAAAAGACGGATTAGAGAAAGTGGATATATATATATCTATATATAATCTATATATATATATTTA